TGAACAAAAAACCTTCCTCTGCTGAAGCCAGGGGAAAGTTGCCATGGCTTGTAGTGGGGCCAGGTATTTCTAGGTTTTGATGGCTCAGAGTGCAAGAGGTTTAAGCCAGTCTGCCAGGCAGGCTGGTCAGCAGTTCCCCAGGCTCAATCTCACGGATCTTTCCCATAGGCCTTTGATTTATTTCTTTGTATTTAGCAGCTTCTGGTTCTCACCAATTGGTTCTCACCAATTGGATCTCACCAATGCATCTTCTTCCGGATCCTGGTTCTAGCAGAATACATTTCTGGTTTATTGTGACCTTGTCTGTGCTGTTGCCAGCCTGATGGCCAATATTCAGACTATGTATTTAAAATGATGACTCACATTGTTTAGTCTTGATGATAATATTTTTAGTCCGAATTTCCCTTCACTTTCATAATTTTTTATAGTGTCCTGTATGCTATATGTTCCTGCCAGTGCAGTAGATAAGCCATGTGGAAAAGCCCACGCCTTCAGGACAAGGCAAAGCAGGGCAGTCAATCACAATAAACATGCAGCCTTGCTGGCCAGCCAGAAATAGAGCCTGGCATTGTGCAGAAATACTCTGCTGGAGTGCTCTGCCAGCTGAACTGATCACATTGAAAAGATAGGAGCAGAACAGTGCCACAGCACCCTGCTCTGTCAGCCAGCACCCCCAGGGATACAAGGACTGCTGGAGCTGGTTTGGCAGGCAGGCTCCCTCTTCTAGCCAGACTGGGCTTACACACCCCCACATAAATAAGCTAGTAGAGATCTACTTCTATAAAACATCTGAAATACTCCCCTCCACTGCCACGTTTGGTATTTTTCCCTTTTTACAGTTTCCCTTGGTGTACATATACAGTGGCATTTTTCAACTCTCTCAATATCTGCTTTCTTTTAGTCCTGTTCCACCTTTTACTCTTCTTAATTAACCTTTAAAATCAACATTTCCAAAAGCTCCAATATAACATAAGCAAAGCCTGGCTGGCCTTATGAGATGTGCTTATCAGGGTTTTAAGGTGAACTCCCCTGCCCAGGGGCAAAAGGGAACCAATACAGCCCAAAGAAGCTAAAGGAAACAGGTTTCTATATTCAGTGACTTACTAAGCAAGACGCAAAGAGGGGGAGCTGAGGCAGCCTCATAAGATGCAAATGAGATGCTAAGAACACAGATTTCTGCAGAAATACATGTTTGTAACAAGATTTAGATATCTGCAGCCCTTCAGGGACAACTAGATATCACTTGATTTTCTTTTAACTTATTTACATTCCCTCTAAAACAATCTGACAGGAATGTTAACTCAGGTCTGTGGTGCTGGCTCTTAGCTTTTCAGTGGGCTGATGTTTTGACTTTATTGAGCAGAGGATGCTGTGCATACACATGCAGTGCTTGTCTAGCAGAGTTATGGTGATTAGATGTGTAGAACTATGCAGAGCTATAAAGGAAAAACCCTTGCGTGGTAAAAGCTTACCTCACCAGAAAGCCTTGTACAGAAATACTCTTTGTCATAAAAAAACCCCCCCCCCAAAAAAAAAAAAAAATCCCAAAAAACCAGCTTTAACTACTCTAGTAATGCTGTGTGGACTGCACACGGCAGATGCAGGGACAGGCCTTCTGAGAGCTAGTTAGGACCACTGGAGGTGGTCCTCAGAGACAAAGTTTGATTGCTCAGGGTCATATTCAGCAATCTTCCTTGGTTGCAACATTTCCCTTGGTTTTTTCTCAGGATAGCCATAGTGGGAATTCAAGCTGCAGGACTGAGGCTCACTGCAAACAAGCTGTGCTCATAGAAATTCACAGTGAGCTCTAAGACCTTTCTATACAACAGGTCAACCTATATGTGATACATTTAAATCAGACCATTTTTCTTAAAGAAAGACAGCTATGTTTACTTTATTACAATAGATTTTTCTCCTTGCCACACTGGTCAAATAAAATAAGGCAGCCATTAAACTGAAAAATGACAAGAAGCTTATTCAGCTTCCATAACATTTAGTATGTATTATACTTGTCTTACTGATAATCCCAAGGTGACTTGCAAAGTGACAGGCAGTCTGGCCTTCTGTACAACCCTATACAATTTAGTCATCCCAGAGATTCATGAAGGCTGAACTTCTAAGTTTAGCACAAAAGAGAAGCAAACTGCAGTAATGTTAATCACCTGGATTCTGTGGTCTGAGGTATGATCTCCTCCCCATGGAGGCATCATGTTGTTTCCTGAAGAACTTACTGGTTTAGTTTAAATGGTTTTGTGTATTTTGTTCTTTTAATTCAGGATGTTCTAGTGCATCTGTCACAAAGACGCTGAATATTTTATTAGCTGCTGAAAATGCTGTTTCTGTGCTGTCAAGCCTGGTTAGATACTTCATGTTAGAAGGTTTAAGACTTGCTGCATTTACAAGTAGGCTGGTCAAGCTGAAGAAAACAGAGAAATGGACTCAGGGGCACCTCCAAGCCAGTTGTTCCTTGTTCCCCCACTTTTTACTAGTTCTAAGGCTTCTGAAGGAAAAGATGTCTACAGTAAAAGCTTCTGTCTGCTACCTTCTGGTAATTACAGGCCACTAAGATTAAATACCTGTTAACACAAATGAAAAATGCTCCTTCAGGTGAAGCTTGCTTTACTGTAAACTGCGTTCCAAGAACACTCAATCATTTCTGAGTTTTGAAGTCAGAAAATACTTGTAAAGCCAGAATCTATGTGTGTTATGCACCTCCTACTCATCTGACAGGGCAGGAACCAGGCAAGATCCCTGGAATGTGGAATACAAGAATATTCCTCACATTTACATTTATAGCATTAATTCTCTTGCAGTCTGTTCTGTACAAGTGTTCTTCAAACACTGTATTTCCTTTCTCTGGTAACCAATTGTGGGGTTTGTATCAGCCAGCTTCCCTGCTGGCACCCATGAGGTCTCACGGACTCATGTACGGAACAATCCCTGCTGTACCAGTGTGCTGACCTTGGAAATCTTAAAGTCCCTTCTAATCCTGTCCCTGCAATTACCTGTACATTTTTAAATATAGACTCAATAACTTGTGTCATTAACCTCTCCAGATAAAGTATCTTCCCATTATTCCTCTTTTTATGTAGCCATGAGTCATGAGAGGGGTTTTTTACCAGTAACATCATGGAAGTTCATCCTGCAATGGAGAAATAGCACCCAGATCTTCTTTCAGAGACTCCATTCAAGTAGTGTCTTCACTGAGATAAAGTGAGTAAGTTCACAGAGTAAAGCTCTGTGTGAACTTATTAAAACTCTTAACAGATTTTGTCTGAAGGCATTTATCAAATACCCTGTATTGTTCTGGTTTCATCATTATTTATCACTCTACTAATACTTATCTTGGTGCAGGTTTTATCAGCACAACCTTATGTGGTTTTCCAGAACACACATAAAAATGTTGAATTGCTTCTGATGTACAATCATTTCCTGTAGAAACTTGCTGGGAATTTACTGAGTCAGTAAAGATCTGCATTAAAAGCTTCTTACTTGGCAATATACATACTTTAACACATCCTTCTTGGTGCTATAGAAATATTAAGCACAGCCATTCACCTTACTGTTGCATGACACTGAAGAAAAATAAAACCCCCTACCTCTATGCTGTTCCTTCTATTAGCCACACACCCCCACTTACTAATTTTCTCTGCCAATTTACATGACATAAAACTATCCTTCTATTATTTCTGGTGTTGAGGATTTTACCTGGAGTTAATGTCATGATAACTGCTCAACAGAGTCCCAAAGTGTCATGTTTGCTTTTTTTCGTCATATTGGTGGAACTCAAAAGCAATTTAAGAGAAATACTTATTCCCGTGGGAAGGCTGATCAGCAAAGCAGCTCCCCTTTGCTTTGGGAGTTATCTAGGAACAGACTTGAACCTGCTTACTCAGCAATCTGCCTTTTATGGACGGAAATGAGAAGATGTTGGTTCTTTTGTAGCCATTCTGATTAAAACTTGCATTCATGTATCTCTGTTCCTCCATTTCTGAAACAACTTGAGAGTGAAAATGGCTGCCTGTCCTCACTACAGCGCTAGCAATTTCATACTCTTAAAAAGCAGGACTTAATCGTACTGAAAAGTGCTACTTCTGAAGCAATGGGTGTGGATCCAACTGCTGGAAAACTATTTCAGTGGTACATTAACTTCAGCTACTACCTACACCAAAAAAATTCACAGCTCACTTAACCAGTGAATCCTAGCTCTTCAAAGCTTTTGGACAGATCTATGCCCACCAACAACACAGCCCAAGCTCTAGTACCCTCCTGCAACATGCCATCGTTGAAAAGGATAGAAATAACCAGCTTTATGACCAGCTGTTTCTAAAGCTTTTTAACTGAGATGCTGATTTTTCATACTAAATAGCCATATATATATATTGTGCTGCTGAACCCAAGCTTCCCAAGTCTCTGTCGAGTGCAAGCAGGTTATCCAGCTTTAACAGCGCTTGTATCAGCATTCACTAGCCCTCCCCTCCCCCGGTGATTATTTCCTTGGCCTACAGCAGATGCAACCAGGCTGATACCCGCTTTCACATGCACGCTTGTGACTTGCAAACAGTTTATTTTTCAAATCCCGATGCCTGCCTTGGTTTTCACAGCAGCACTATTTAGGCTGTGAAGTCCTGGAGGCTGATGTTTGAGCTTAGAGGCAGTAGAGAAAAAGCAGCTCGGGCACCAAACCGGACCTTCTCCCTGAAGACCTGCGTGGGATCCAGCCAGCATCCCCAGCGCCGGGAGACGGGCAGCGCCTCAGGACCCTGAGAAGGTGCTAGAAGGAGGCTGATCGCGCTCTTCCCAGGGCTGCTCTCAGCATGCACACCTCTGCCGCCCTCCTGCCCATGGCACCTCCCGGCCATTCCCGCACCCCAGGCCCGGCCCTACCACCCATCTCCGCCCCTCCAAGCTTGCTCCGACCACCCGCGCCCCGCACCGGCTAACGCGGACCCCTCTCATTGGCTATCTCAGTGCGCGAGCGCCGGGGCCGCCAATGGGCGGCAGCCACGGCGGGAAGACGCGCGGCGCGTGGGCGGTGGGACGGGGCGGGCAGGTTCTGGTAGCGGTGGCCCAAGGAGCGGGAGGCAGCCATGGGGGCGCGTGCGGCGGGCTGCTTGTGGTGGGGTAGGAGCCGCGCGCGGCGGGGCCGCTGAGGGGACGGGACGGGACGGGACGGGACGGGACGGGGCGGGGCGGGGGGAGGCCGGAGGGGCGGCGGGTCGCGGCTTCCCTGTCCCGCCTGCTCGGGGCCCGGCGGGGGTGCGGGCCCGTCGCGGCCGGAGGGGGCTGGGCGGCCATTGGTCACGGATGCGGAACCGCCGTGAGTCCGTTTCCCGCTCGTGGAGGAGCGGGGGCTCTGGGCCGTGCGGGTCGCTCTTCGCGGTGGCCGGCAGCGGAGCGGATGACGGCCATTGCCGATTCCGGCCTCTGCACTCCCCGGGGGTGTAGGTTATCAGTGGGCTGCTGAAGCGCCGGGAGATAGTTGAAAGGTTTCGGCAGCAAAAACAGACAAACAAAAGGTGCTTATCTCTCGCCCTAATAGAACTAGACAAGCTTTAGTTTCCATTGAGCGGTGATGTTTACTTGCTTGGCTGCCCTGACGTGGGAGCTAGTGCTGTAAGAGCAGCAAGAAAGCAATGAGTGAAGACAAAAGGAGGAGCCCGTGCGGAATTGTGCTGCTTCTTCCCCTCCCCCTGCTGCTGGGTCTTCTGTGCCAAATAAATCGGTAAACCTGTGAAGCAGTCCCATTCGAGCTCCTCTGCTGAGGAAGGAGTGGATATTTTAAGGGGGAAGTTAACAGAATCATCATCCACGTCCCATAGCAAAAGCTTTTTTCTCTCTCTTCTCCTCCTCCCCTCCCCCCATCTGCATTTTCCTGGCGTAGATGCTTGTAGGAAAATTACCCTTTTATTTCCTAAAGATTAATTAAACCTTTAATATTGCACGGTAGAAAGGAAGATTATGCCACCAGTTCATGAATGGCAAAATAAAAAGTGGTGATATGTGACTTGGTGAATTTCACTTTGTGCTTTCTTTTGTGAGTTCTTTTTAGCAGGTATTTTTAGGTAAGCTAGGACTTCTCTATTTGAAGTGGCAGAAATGTCTGAGGGAAGTCTGTTCAGCTTCTGAATGGATTTTGCTAGAGGTCTCCTTAGGTGATGCTGAAATACGCTGATTTAAATATAATGTTCTCATTCCACCTAAAGAAGGGTTTCTTGTTTGAGAGTGACTGTAACATTCAAGTAGCTTTTTCCATCCTTCTTTTCTTACTCTGCCCCAGTGGCAGCTGCTACTGTAGGTCACCGTAACATGCTGTGACAGCCACAGATTGCCTTGGAAGTCAGTTGATCAGTTCTGATGAAGTGCTGTTTGTACGTAGGCATGCTGAATGAAGACAGCCAGTCTAATGTATAAATGTGGTAATGTAAACCAACTAGGATCACACCAGAAGAAAAAGGTTGGGTTCTAGGGCTAAAAGAAGCATTTAGAAGAGGGAGTAGTGCAGTGGATAGGGTGGTGGGCTGCAGCATGTCAATTCAGTCCAGATCTGTAGTTGGATAACCTGGAAGATGTCAGCTTCTCTCACCTGCAGGATAGAAACTGGCTTTTCTTGAGCAGGACTGATAAAGCATAGGTGATGCTGTGCAATCTGTGTACCATGTGCTGTGAAGTGTCTGCATCATTGAATTGCATCTTCCTCTCACATTCAGTCTTGAGAGAGAATGTGCAGCTTCCTATGCAATTTAGTAACCACTCACAGCAAAGCTAACTACTTTATTATGTAGATCTAATTTAGATGTCTGAACTCTTACTCCCCCCAGTCTTTGGTGGGTTAAGGAAAGTTTTCTGCTGTGTGGATTTTGTTACAGAGATGGTTGTCGTATTTCAATCTCTCTGACTTGGTAGAAGGAAGGATTATGAGGTTTTATATGCCAAGTCTGAAGATAGAAGATCCAGAAGTATGAAGTCTTTCTTCAGAGAAAGCAATTTCCTTGTACCTTTCAATTTTTTAGGGTTCTAAAAGTGCTTGAGTTATTAACCAGAGATTTCGCTGTTGTTCTCCAGTCTGTTGCTAGAGAGATAACTCAGTGGTAGACTAAGATCCTTCCTGATGAGCAAGAATGAAGGATCTCCTTGCACTAGCATCAAGTCAGTCTTCAAATCAGTGTGACTATACTAAAACTAGTTGGGACAGTCCTGAGTTATGTGGTCCTATGAAAGATATGTTTGCCTGCTGTGCAAGAGGTGTGGGCTTAAGAGGTTCTATGAGAAAGAACTGAAAGAAATTGAAGCTAATTGTGGGGATCCCTGTGGAAGTTCTGCTGGTCTCGTAGGGTTAGAGTAGCAGCTTTGACAAACTGTTCTTCAGAGAGTTATACTGGGAGTGGCATAACCCTGGCTAGCTTTAGGTGCAGTTAATGTGTTGCGTGATCCTGTGGAATCCTGATTTAAGTGAGGAGGAGAGGCATATATCTTGCCTTAAATTCCTCTTTTTTTTTTTTTTTTCCCTGGCCCTTGAATCCATTGAGTCTGTTGTGTCCCCTCATTTTTTTTTTATTTTTTTTTCCCTCCCCTGCTGATTTGTAAGGAATGGGGAGATGATTTAGCTGTGGCAACAGGAAAATCATAAATGTTCTGCAGGAATGCTGATTTATTTGCTTTTTGTTCTAGGCACAGTGAGCTGCACGCTATTCCTTGTGGTTAACAGTTTATACTCAGCCAGTGATGATGTGATAGAGCTGACACCAACTAACTTCAACAAGGAGGTCATTCAGAGTGAGAACCTCTGGCTCGTGGAGTTCTATGCCCCATGGTAAGAATTACAGCTACATACTTGCCTGTTCTTATCATGGAGGAGCAGCATAGGAATCTGCTACTGATCAGTGCAGGGTTTCAGTCAGTTGCTGGCAGTACAGTTATCACTTTGATGGCCTCATGCCTAGCAAAATAACTCCAGTTGGAGTTCCTATTTTAAATTCCCTCATGAGGAAAAAAGGCAGGAATTGGTTTCAAGTCGGTAAATAGGGTCTAATAACAAAACCTTCTATGCCATTTTACTACTTCAATTTTTACTGAAGTCAGTGTTAAAAATGACTAATCAAAGTGCAATAGGCAACCAGCAACCTGGCTGGGGTTAAACCACAACAAGGCCCCTCACTTCTGTCTCACACATGCTGATGTGAAAGCACAGAGCTTGAATTCACACTTAGAATTTCCAATTTCCTTTGGAAAATCCTGGGTTTATGCATCTGAATTTAGCACTTCTGTCTCTGTCCTGCTCATGTCCAAAGCATGGAGTCTCTTCCATGTAAATTCTGATGATGTATAGTCTACCTTTGCACAAGTCCTCTGTGCTATTGCCATCCAAAGCTCCACATTCTGGAGAAAGGGGCCTTTCATTGAAGCTGGACTTAGAGGCTTGGGGGAAGCTTGTTGTGACACCTGTAGTGTTGCAGCTTTACAGGCAAAAGAAAGCTTTATTGAACAATAGCAGTCAAGTGTGGAACAGGTATAAATAAAATGGTAGCTCCTCTTTCCCTTACAGACTTGTGATACTGTGACTGTACTCTAGTTGCCAGTCAGCTGTTGCTCTTGTCTGCCAGACACCTCCAGGAAATGTGCCACAAATTCTTGCTGGTGAAGAAGTTACCTCTAGAATATTTTTTTCAGGTCTCATCACCATTTTAGTTTGCAACAAGCAGACTAGTGTGCAAATCTGGATTTTGGTGCTCATGTTTGCCTCTGTGCTAGGAAAGCCAGCTACCTTTTGAGATGTGTGTGCATATGTGCGTTTGCATGCACTTGTATAATACATGTGGAGTACATGTGTTTTCTTCAGAAGTCTGATGATGCGATGTTGTGGCATAGCCTTTTCCCCTCTTCCTGAGAAGATCTTAACTCTCCTAAGTTTGCTGTGAGTGATTGTTTGGTAATTGCAAACCTAACAAGACCATTCTGTATTTTGTGAAATAATTATCAGGTCTGAATGACAATTACTCTGTTTTGTTTCCTAAAAGGTGTGGTCATTGTCAAAGACTAACCCCTGAGTGGAAGAAAGCAGCAACAGCATTAAAGGTAAGTTGTTCAGCCTTTCAAATGTGCTTGTGGCAGGGGATTGAGGAGAGTTTGGCTGTTGGTCTTCTGCCTTGGGGCTTGGTCCCCAAAACTGTATCACTTTAGTCACACTTGTCCAGCCAGGAAAGTGGCCGGTCAGAAGCACTTAAACAGACAGTATTTTTTGTGGGTGTTTTCCTTTTTTTAAAAAAAAAGCCATTGAATTATAGAGGAAGCAGGTAAATTCTGTCCTTGTGAATTCCCTTCACTGTTTTCCAGGGCTGCTTTTAACAGCCAGGGCTGCTTTTAACAGAAGGCATTAGAATCTGGTCATCCCCCCAGATAGCATGTTCCTCGTTTCTTCCTCACTGTTCTGTTGCCTGCCTCTGAAGTACAGGAAAAGCATGTAAAAACAGTGTTCTAAGCTGTTAGTGATGAATATTTCTTTAATTACTGAAAACTTGGTCAGGTAGTGATTTGTTGAACTCTTGCCTATGTTTAATATATTCCCCTTCTTCTAATCACAAGCTAAAAAAATGCCAAACAATTTAAAATCTTGTTTGTCAGGACGAAGAAAGAATGGACATACGGTATTCTGTAGGTTAATGCTTCTGGGGGGGGATTGCACCTCTCTTCTGGTGACTGTTTTTGTACCCTCCTAATAACACACTCTGCACCCCCCCCCAGCATTCACAGAGTATAAAATGTGTTAAATCATTGTAGATGTCTTGTCTTAGTATTTGTTTTTACTTCCACAGGGTGTAGTGAAAGTAGGTGCAGTAGATGCAGACAAACATCAGTCCTTGGGTGGACAGTATGGAGTCAGAGGGTTTCCAACTATCAAGATATTTGGAGCCAACAAAAACAAAGCAGAGGATTATCAGGGTAAATGTGATGCTTATTTGTGTGTTGCATGTCTGAAAACTTTCCGGGATATAGTAATTATGGTAGCTGCCAATGCTGTCTTGTGTGGTGTTTCCTTCCTGTCTAGTGTTTGTAGCAACTGGTACACGGGTGGGTGGGACTAACTTGACCAAACTGTGCATGTCTCATAGTGTGGGCTAACAGTCCCACCTGCAGTTGATGGAGATTGCTAAGCAGTTCTAAAGAATTATTCCTTTCTTCCTGTTTGCTGGGAGCTTGCCACAGTTACCCCACATCAGATAAGGGTGGCAGTTAAAAATTGGAGTGAAGTAACCATATTGTTTGTGTTTGTCAGTGATGTTCCACCAGTAGTACCATATCACTCATAGTCCAGTCCTGCTTTTTGTGAAAAATCCATAGAATGAGAGAGTATTAAGTTTGTTAATGAAGTTGAGGGCCTACCTTAACCTGGCCTTTGATGCTTCAATCGCTCATTTTGCTGCTTTGCAGGTGGCAGGACAAGTGATGCTATTGTTGATGCTGCTTTAAGCGCTCTTCGGTCCCTGGTGAAAGACCGTCTTAGTGGCAGAAGTGGAGGATATAGTTCTGGGAAACAGGTATTTGAGAGAATGTGTATGTCCAACTGGAGACTGTACAGAAGAGCCTGTGTTCATTTCACAGAATAGTTGAAGTTGGAAGGAACCTCTGGAGGCTGTCTAGTCCAGCCCTCCTGCCCAATGCAGGGCCAGCTTGAGCAGATTGCTCAGGGCTGTGTCCCACCAAGTTGTTAGTATCTCCAAAGACTGAGACTCCATGTGGATTGCACTTTTCAGGCAACCTATTCCAGTGTTTAACCACACTCAGAGTAGAAAAGTTTTCTCTTGTATTTAAACTAGATTCTTGTGTTTCAACTTACGCCCTTTTTGTCCTGTGACTGGGTATTGCAGAGAAGAACCTGCCTTTCTTTTATTTACTCCCTTTCACTCAGGTATTTATATACATGGATAGGATCTATGTTAAGTTTTCTTTCTTTCCAGCTGAGCAGTCCCATCTTTCTCAACTTATCATACGTCAGATGCTCAAAGCCCTTAACCAGCTTTGACCCCTGGCTGGACTTACTCCAGTGTGTGTATACTTCTTATACTGGTTATGCTGGGGAGCCCAGAAGTACACCCAGGACTCTTGCGTGTCTCACACAGTGCTGAGCAGAGGAAAAGATCTCCCCAACTCTGCTGGCAACCCCAAGTGTAGCTTGGGGGGCTGTTGCCTTTGCCACAGGGGTCCAGTGCTGGCTCTTATTCAGCTCATCCACCAAGACCCTCGGGTCTCTGTGAAAAGCTACTTTACAGTTAGTCCCCAGTATGAGGTGATTCTTCCCCAGGTGTGTCTCCCTTTGAACTAACCCTGTTAGCCCTTTTCTTCAGCTGGCTGAGGTATCATTTGCCTAGTTCTAGGCTAAGCTGAATGGATGAGGCTTTTCTGAATTTGATTGTGTTCTGAAGTTGGCTTGCTGGATTTCTCCCTAAAGGCAAATTGAAAAGCTTCTGGCTCCTGCTAATGTTTCTAAATCCTGGAGCAAATGCGCTCCAACGTCCTCAGGCTGGGCAGGCAGAAGACTTGGGTGATCTGTGCCCTGTACTGTGTATTGCTCTTACATGTGTTTGTTTTGCCTGGAAACCACAACACAGTGGTGGGGGAGGGGGTTGGAGAGCACTTTGTTCTTGGGCAGCTCAGAGCATGAAGAACCGGGAAAGTGTTCCCTCCTCTTGTTAATCAGTTTGACCTGATTTTAAGAGAAGGATTGCTTACTGTTTCTTGAAAGTGCTGTGGGAGCAGACTGTGTGTATTGTCAGTTCTAAAAATGGAGAAGTTGTGTAACCTATACTGCCTGCTTTGTGTCTCATTCAAATAAAGACCATTTGGTATGACATGACGCACTTATGTGAGGGTCTGTTTGTTTCTTACAGAGCCGAGAGAGCGGAGGTGGTGATAAGAGGGATGTGATTGAGCTGACCGATGACAGCTTCGATAAGAACGTCATAAACAGTGATGATGTGTGGATGGTGGAGTTTTATGCTCCATGGTGTGGGCACTGCAAAAAGTAAATGAGCTTTTTCTTCAACAGTTGAGTTCACATTAATGCTTTGTTTTGTGTGATATCCTTAATTCCCTAAAGGAGAACTTGCATCTCTGGTATGTCAGAAGTGGGGGTTTCTGTAAGATGTTTTAACAAGCATGCGTGGGCTTTGACTGCTCAGGGCACCTTGATGCTGCTCTGGCTGCATCCTGCCTTAGCAGTAAAATGCCCAGTTACCAGTGGAAATAAGATCCAGAAGTTATGTGGGACCTGAGTCTCATTTGGAATAACCCTCCTAGCTGTCACTGTCTGCAGAGGCTTTATTTTTTTTCTGCGTGGTGTATGCTACACGAAACGTGGTGTACTTTGCTAGCTTTCTTAAAGCTTAGAGAACTTTTATCCTTCGTTTTTCAGCCTGGAGCCAGAATGGGCAGCCGCTGCCACTGAGGTGAAGGAACAAACAAAGGGAAAAGTAAAGCTGGCTGCAGTAGATGCAACTGTTAATCAGATGCTGGCAAGCAGATATGGGGTAAGTGTGTTCTGCAGTGGTTACAATTTCTTTCACATCTCTAGTAAGTCAGATTTCCCTGGAATGCATACTGAGCCGTTTCTTAATCTGGTACCATTTAAATGTTTGTGCTAAAAATACTGTTGTGTCACACACTATTTTCCCACAATATTCTTTCCTGAATGTCAGTAAGAATATAAACGAATGGGATGAGATAAATGAATAAATCTGGATGTTGCTGATGAAAATGGCTCTGTATGTCCGTGAAATCTTGTATAGTTTCATCATCTGAAGTGAAAGGTCTCTCAGACTATATGCTGGCTGGGTATCTCCAGAACTTGCACATCTACCTGTACATCTTGGAGCCAGATATTGGAGATCACTGACAATGTTAGCTGCCCCCATCAGCGATGCTGTGAGTCCAAAAGGACCTGATACTTTTTAATTTTTAGTACAGTACAGGATGTTCACAGTATGCTGCTTAGTTTTCCTGTGCACATGACTGGCAGTCAGTGGGAGCACTGAACAAATTTTAGTGGGAATGTAGCAGGGGGAGCTTAAGGTCTACTTGTTGCCATATAGGCACAGTGCTGTCCCCTCCTACCCAAGAAAATGGGGAAACTACTGTCTAATAAAAATGAAGAGTTAAAATAGCCCTCATGGCACTTAAACCTGCAGTGCTTGGTACATCTGAATTGATATGAAACCATTACTGATTCATCAGACCTAAGACTTGAAACAGTGTATCAGTGTATGTTAACCTTGTTTTGAATTATTGCACAACTAGGAAACAATTGTTCAGTTGTAACAGGCTGGGAGACTTGATTCACATAGGTGTTGAATCTCTTCCCTTTTTCTTCACCTGAAATGTGTTGGAGTATCACATAACTTCCACCATAAATTTTCAGATTTATGTGATTCTGATGGTTTCAACTTTTCTTGCAGATTCGTGGATTTCCTACCATTAAAATTTTCCAGAAAGGAGAAGATCCTGTTGATTATGATGGTGGGAGAACCAGATCTGACATCGTTTCTCGTGCTCTGGATCTGTTTTCTGATAATGCACCACCACCTGAGCTCCTGGAGGTACCTCTACATCACTTTCTCAAATTGCTTTTCCATCATATCCTTTGCTGCAGTTTTTACAGGACTATGTTATTGTAAATAGCCTAAACATGTTGCCTGTGCACTCTTTTGCAGCAGACAGTCAAGGATGACAAGTCTGATCATTCAGCTGTTACTTATTTTTCACTGAATTTCTGAACTGAAAGATTATCAGAATTGATAGAGTGAAGACACTAATGGGATGGTATCAGGGTGTCTGAATCCTATTGAGGAATGAGTGAAAAGGTTGGGTTCTGTGCCCCATCTTTTTTTTTTTTACAACAGGAGGGCATGGTTTTGTCATTGGCAAGCCATCCATTAGGAGATGCATAAGAACTGAGCTTGCTTGTTGTCCAGAAAACTCCACTAGTTTCAGCTTGATGTTGGTGGATTTGAAATGGTGATCAGTTGTCCCCAAAGTGGGGTGTATCCAAGACAATCTATTGGGGTGCAGGAAGAAAAAGAAAAGATTTGTACTATTAATATTTTTAACGATGGTGATTGTTTCATCTTTGTTACCCTTTTAAAATGTCAATTTTCTGCATGGCTTATAATGTACATAATGTTAGTACAATAGTACATGCACGTAATTGATGGACATGTATTGGGGCTGTATGCTTAGATTTTTTTTTACTGGCAAAGGTGCACAATCAAAGTTTGGAGGTGTAGATAAATGGGTTGATTCCTTTTTAAGGTAGGTCACGCAAAACTGGTAATTGCCGTTAATGTTGATTAAATGTTCTCATCCTCAGCAGATGCTGCACCCTGCTGGCTCTCCTTATACTAGCAGTATTATGAATGAAACCTGCAGGCATACGTGTAGGTCTGGATGTGCTTTTTCCAAGGACAGTGATTTTTAGCATCTGTGATCTTGCTGTTCTCTCTAAGCCTTATTTGGTAGTGCTTATTTTTGTGTTATGATGTCTTGGCAGAGGACTTTGTGAACTTCTTGTAATTAGTCTTGCATTGGGGGACCGGTGAGGAGTCTTGTAAGCATTCTGGCAAGTTGTTTCAATGCTTATTACCTTGTAGTATGGAGTTGATAGGCTACTGGAGGGAAGTGCAGTCACAGCTTGGGTAACCATGTCGTAATCTGATTGACTTTCTGCTGCTTTCTTCTAGATAATCAGTGAAGATGTTCTGAAGAATACCTGTGATGCTCATCAGCTCTGCATCATTTCTGTCCTGCCTCATATTCTTGACACAGGTAGACATACAAGCAAACAGATTTCTGTGTGAATTTGTCACTTAAAGCATGTAGTTGTGTTTAACTTGTTCAATCCTGTCTAACAGGAGCTTCAGGGAGGAATTCTTACCTGGATGTCATGTTAAAAATGGCTGAAAAATACAAAAAGAAAATGTGGGGGTAAGTCTCATTGTAGACAAGTTGTCTTTGAAAAGATGTGAGCATTTTTTAGATGTAACAGAATCTAATTTGTATGATAGCAGTCTACCTGCAGATAAGAGTTGTTCCTTGTTCAAGATAGTGTATCGTGGTATCTCACAAACTGTGCTGTGGGTGGGGATGAATAAACTCCTGGTTTATTCATACTCCTTGTTGGTTTTCTTTTCATCCTCTCAAATCTACAAATGATATCTAAGCAAGAACGAGATCAGATTAAGAATTTTTTACTTTTGTCCTGAATGCTACAATATTTTTAGGATAGCATTTATCCAGTTTCTTTTAGAGTCTTTTGCTGGTGGGTGAGTCTGCCAGTATGACTGAATCCTCAAAAAATAAAAGTAAATTGCAGTTTATTAACAAGTTTCACGCTCTCAATGAAGCAGGCTATCAGGCTTTGCCTTTTCTCCTCCTCTCAAGCAGAGGTTAGGATCCCTGGGTCTTCTCTAGGTGAGAGTTCTGACACAGACTGCTGTGAAAAGAGGGCAAAATGACTTGAAAGCCTGGGGAAAATGCTGAGACTAGTTGATTCCAGAGGTTCCTCAGGGGACTTGTTCTAAGCATTAGAGGAACTGAAACCTTACCAGCAAGGAACTAATACGGAGTGAAATAATGGTCTTGCAGATCTTGGCCAGAAATCCTCTGCAGTGGGATTTGGGCTGTAAATTTGTCATATTTGGATCTGTGAACCGTTTTAAGCCTTATTATATACTAAAGTATAGCAATTTGTTCAGATCGGTAATGTAGTTCTTTCCCTGGACTGTGTTTTGCTGTTGTTCTGGTCCAGTTTTTAGTGGCTGTGAGCATGGGGCTGGCCTCGAAGTGCTGTCAGGGAGGGGCTTTCTTCTGTTACATGATTCAAGACTGGGATCTTGCTGACTTAGTAACAGCTGACACTGTCAAGGGCAGTTCAGAGCCCAGCTTGAACTCTACAGAGTTGTGGGATATGTATGACTTACATGATTGTAGTGCTCATCCTAATTATTAATTTTCTGTTTTATAATTTCCTGAAGGTGGCTGTGGACAGAAGCGGGTGCTCAGTCAGATCTTGAGAGCTCTTTGGGGATTGGAGGCTTTGGGTACCCAGCAATGGCAGCTATTAATGCTCGGAAGATGAAATTTGCCCTTCTGAAAGGATCATTCAGTGAGCAAGGGATTAATGAGTTTCTCAGGTATGACATCTTTCAGTGACTTAAATCTTTCTCTTTTGTGACTCTTTAAAACAAAATCAGGCTCTCCTGGATCAGGTGAGACTTGCACAGTTAAGAGAATTAAGGCAATACGTATTCACAGGAGTCAGGGAGTTATTTCAGTGGGGATTTCAGCTAATAAAGCAGTCACTGTGTTTTTATGGTGGACAGAATTAAGAAGTTGGCCATTTAGACTTAAATATTTTAGCACAAATATTGAAAACAGTTTGAAAATAGAAGTGAGCTTTGATCTTGAAAAAATCTGGTTCTCTGGTAATCAAAAACATTGGCAGGAATTGGTAATCAATAATGTCTGATTCAAATGGTGGATTCTGATTTAGTAATTGTGAAGTTCCAAGTTTGGGTATCTAAATAGGTGCTGTTGAGGTTCTGTATGTTGCTATTAAGCTTTCTGGTTTGGTCTGGTCCTGTCTTCTCTCTCCCACCTTCCTCATTCCCCTGGCATGTGATAAACTAATTGAGGGACCTGAAGCAATCCATCCAAAAAGTCAGCTCAAGTTCAGTGAAACTGTCTCTTGTGTAGCTTGGCAAGAGCCAGTGCTGCAAAGAACTGAATGGGGAGAGGAAATGGAAATGACAGAAGGTGGCAGCAGCAATTAAATTGAGCAGCTAAGCTTAAACTATTACTTCAGCATGGTCAAAGTGAAGTGGGAATTCTGCTTCAGGGTAAATCACCAGCTGCCATAAGTTATATATGTACATATATAATGTAAGCATTTGAGAGCTTACATTAGCAGTATCCTTGCTCAGAGAATGGCAGAGGACAGTCAGAATTACAAAAGCAAATACAACAGTCTCTCCTCACCTTGCCATAAGAAGCACATTAATTGAACCCTTTTCCTGCTGGTTTAATAGATACATTGCTATATTCTCGTACCTGTGTAAGTGATCAGACTGTTTTCTTAATGCCAAAAAGGGAAAGGGACCATTCTTGGAACATCAAGTAAAAATTAGGATTTAGGCGCAAAGAAAGTAATACCGATCACTTTGTGCTAATGCATGCAAGAAACACCTGCCTTTTTCAGACATGGCAAATGTCTCTTAGTGTGTAAAATCCATCTTAGTGAAGCCTCTCCTGGTGAGAGTGGATGGTGCTTTCAGGACACAACAGCCAACTTAACAGCTTGTATTACATTAGGTGATTGGTTTGGTATTGTCTTACTGCAGAGCAGTTCTTGCTAGAATAATCTCTCACTTGAAACTTCAGCTCAGCTGTGCTGCCTAGAGAAAGCAGTACAATCACATTGGGGGTAGCTGGCTGTTAATTCAGCTTCCTGCGTGCAGCTTTTGTAATCTAATAGGCATTCTCATTCACCAAAAGTGAAGAAGTTGGCACTTAAGAAGTGCATAAAAATTGTAGGTCCCACCTAGGGAGGAATGCATGTTCAGTCTTATTTGCCTCTGAAAGAGTGCAAAGGGATTAGCTGTTTGGGATGTTAACATTTAGGCTTTTTGAGGAAGCCTAATTAGCAAGTGCAAGATGGAGTATCTTGAAGCTGGTTACCTCCTCCCCACTGTAACCTGTGGACACTTAGTCTCTGCTTACAAACGTCACTAAAAAGATGATTATAAAAGAGTTCCAGTAACAGTTGCAGGTGACTTCCAACACTAGAAGGCTCTTGGAGTTGCCTTAAGTGATAAACAACACACTGTTAAAGGGGCTGTGTGTGTCCACGGTTGTGAGACTGCTGAAATGTGAAATAATATAATTCACGTTGTTTGTCTCTTTGAATCCAATTGCAAATTTGCAGTGCTGCTTTAAAGGCTCTATAATTTTCTGCTTCTCAGATGGAAAAGTTTTTGCTTCCAGACAGTTTAGATTTGCTTCCAGAGATCGGATCTTGAAGTTGACTTCCTTTTATCTGAAACAGGCACTGTTCCAGGTGGATGGAACTGAAGAAACTTCTTCAACTTGTTTTGTTGTTTGTTGTTTTTTTTCCTCAGGGAACTATCTGTTGGTCGTGGCTCTACAGCACCAGTAGCTGGTGGAGCTTTCCCTAAAATTCATTCAGTTGAACCTTGGGATGGCAAAGATGGTGAGGTAAGGGGTGCTTAATTTCTAAAAGTGCTAATGATTTGCTAGGCTCAGAAGTGATTAGGTAAAATAACTAAGAACTGGCAATGTGAAAATTGTTCTTCAAAGATTGTGGTAAGTTGTATTGATGGTTTCCCATTATCTAAATCCTGCCACTAGACCAAACACCACATTCATCACCTGACGCTGTGGACAGATACTCCTGTCTAGCTGTTGGGATGTGGTCTGAAAGTTGAATCCCTTGAGCCTGAAATGTGTTACTACTTGTGCTGAATAACGGAGGTGATAGTGTATGCATTCAAAGTAATGAGTGTTTCAGAGCCTTTCATTCTGCAGTATGTTGACCTTATTGTTAGTCTTAATGTCAGACAGTTTGTAAGGGAAAGCCCATGTAATATATAGAACAGGGATTAAGTAGGTTCTTAAGGTTCAACATTGCTGTAAAAACTTAAGTTACTGCAATTCTTTTATCTATTTCAGATGGAATTAAAGTGCAGAATACAGTAGTATTAGTACATCTGTGTTTGCCTTTATCTGGAGTATTTTTATTAGTAGAAAACAACCTCCTAGTCTAAACTCTGATCACTTGTCCTGTGCTTAATACACTGTGAGTTTTTATGAATGACAGAGATGACAGGAGGGAGCTTTACTCTCGGTATGAAGTAAGCATCTTTCAGAATCAGCGATGTCCTGTGTTAAGTGCTTCTAAACCCATGCTCAAAACCTTCCCTTTTCCACAGCTTCCAGTTGAAGATGATATTGATCTCAGTGATGTGGATCTGGATGACTGGGATAAAGATGAGCTGTGAGATCTTCCGGAAACTTCTTTTCTTGGGCAAGCTTGTGCAGCAGTTTGCAACCTGGTTCACAATCAGATGGATATTCCAGTGGCCTTTTTATGGAGAACTAGCACATGCCACACTGTGCTATGTGATGCACTGCAGCAGTGAACTGTACGCATCTCAAGAAAACATTGCAGAAATTCTATGAATTGTCATAACCAGTAAACTTGATTGTATTCTGTGTAACAAATATTTTGAGGACAACATGGATATTTCTTTGGAACATCTTGGGGTTTGTTCTGTTGATAGTGTGCTGTTTGAGTGTTGCTGGAGGCTGTTAGTGTAACCAATTTTAAACGTGATGTTTTTTTTCATGGAGGTGGAACCTGGTCAGCTTCTGTTTCAATTAAAGAATAAAACAAAATATTTTTGACACACAGTGTTAGTCTTGTATAGAGTAACAGAGGTGCACATGATAAAAGCTATCCTATTTTGGATGACTCTTGAAAAATGAGCTATAGACTATAGAGGCTAGGGCAGAGGGGAGTCCTTAAACCACCCCTTGCTGTGAATGATCTTGACAGTTTGGCCGAAGGCCTGCTTAGATGGACAATCCTAGTTTAAATGCTCTTTAGTCTTCCTCTTCTTTCTCAGGGGCTTTCTCTTTGTGCCAGACTTGGTGAGGTCTTTAACACAATGGAAGCAGGGTGGCTGCTGCAGTGGGAGATGCAGGGAGCTGTTGGCCTTTCCTCAGGATTGGAGGTGAAGCTGATCTCCATTTTAGGGCATAAGCTAACATTTTAGGGCAAGGTGCTAACAAAACCACCATAGTGCTCTCTCCAGCAAGTTGGGTAATGGTAGTACTCTTCACTTCCCATCTGACATTGCTCTGATTTGAAATCACTATTTCCTTGGAAGGGGAATCGGGACTGAGCATGGCAATGGTTGCTGCTACTTTTTAAATACAAATACCATTATATTTTGTTGCTCTCCATGTCTTGTGTCTAGTGAAGTGACCCTCATATGATCAGTTCAGAATTATGGAATTGTTCCTGAGTAAGGAATGAAAGAACTGAAAGTTTACCCTCCTTTCAAGGAAATAATTTAATGTGGATATTTATTGTGTAGTGTCTGTAAGAGATGGCCCTGAAAGGAGAGCTCCCTCCTGATGAAAGGCAGTGTAAGACTCACCAGCGGCCAACAGTAATTTTCTGGATTCGGTGCAGGAAATGTGCTCAACTCTAAGCCATCCCAGCACATGAGTTCTAACTAAAAGGTCCTGGCAAAAACTAAACTGAGGAGTACTTGGGACTAGAAGTCATTCTACAGTAAGTTCCACACCAATTCTGAGGATCTTTTTTCTTAAGCTTTTATTTTTGAAAAAATTAAACTTTGAGGTTTGCTCTGATGCTTTTTAGGTTTTCTGTTTTTTTGTGGGTTTTTAAGTTTGCTTTCTTAGAAGATCAGCACTGTATACACCTGGTAGATCCATTAGCCACCACACTTTTTAAATTGCTTTATTTCAAGTCCAGTAGATATTCCATCTTTGTAACTTACCAAAAATAATAAATACTACTAGAGTACCTCCTGCCTCTGAAATATGTTTTTGTAAAACTATGAGATATTCATATTGAAGTCACTGTAGAAATTACTGCAAAAGGTGGGAAGATCTTATGCAATTATCCTGTTACAGCATCTATGTTTGAATTTCAGTAGCTAAAGATTGTTTTACAGCAACATTAGGGTTGAAAATTAATAGGTGAAGCTTGAGCCATTTTTCTTCAGCTGCTGTCAAGAAGACTGAGGTCCACTTTAAAGTAGACATAAGGATAGTATTCTTGGTTACTCAGTTGTAAACCAGGGATGTCCATGCCAGGCTGCAAAAGGAAGCAATGTGATTTAGCCGCGGAAACAAGCTTGCACAGTTCCAAGCTACAATGGTTTGCTTTTATGCCCCTTTCCACAGGTGGAATGGAGTTTTACATTTGCTGTGCTAAAAGTGGGGAATTTGACACTGAGAATCTGGCAGTTGTTTGGTGGTTTTCGGCTGCCTAATGAAGGTTAGCATTGAGAAGTCAGGCTTGGTTGACAGCTTTATGAGCATGTGTAGTAGCACTGTTGTGTGCTTCAGCTCCAGAGCAACCCAGTTCTTTCTCCTCCCCTTCCTGCACTGAATTCTGCACTTGCTGGTTTTAGACTGTTCTAATGCCCAGTGGTTTATCCTGAATTGACTGTACAGTCAAGTTATGGAAAGGGAGAAAGTGAGTGCTGCTGAAGGTTTAAACTGAGGTATTTGGTCAATGACAGCCTTTTTCAGGGGATAGAGGTGTCACAGCCCCAGCACTTGGTTCTGGATTAATTTTCTTGCTTTGTGTTGACCTGAACGTAATTAAGATCTATTTCAGTCCAGTGGCTATAAACATCAGATGCTTCAACAGAAAATGTAAGCACTCTATGCATTTCTGTTGTAATCTGAGCCTGTTACCCTAATCTAATCTGTAACCATCAGGGATTAGAGCTGCATCCAGCAGCACTGCAGGGTGTGTGGAGATACGTGCCCTAGCACCCGGGCAACCAAAATATTAATCTAGCTAAACTGGTGCAAGCTACAGCATGTGCACTTGAAGTCCAAATACATACGTCCATTATACTTGCTGCTGCAACTTCATCCAGGTGTTTAAAGACCACATTCAGGACATCCCTCAGCCGTTTTACAGACTTCCTGTTTGGCTGCAGCAGCATTGCTTGGAAATTCACAGGGAGGCCATACCTTGGAACACATCAACATACGTGATTATCTCTTGGGCAGAGGCACGCCTTTCTGCTCCTTCCCTTCTGCCTCCTTGGCCTCCTGGCATGCTAGCTGATGCTGCACTGCAGAAACAACCTCAGTGGTGGTGTGTTGCCTCTTTACTCAAAAGCATTTCCTTTTTGATGCCAAAACTCAACTAAACAGTGTCTTTCTGGTTTCCACTTCCTTGAAAGTGCCCCCACAAAACTGTTTTTCATCAACTTTGAATGTCACTTTTTTTGTGGTCATCTCTGTTGTCTCCTATGAGCCCCTGGCACAAGTTGTGTAAGGGATGTTCCCTCCCACAAAGACCTACCCCAGGAAGAGAGCTGTAAGTTTTGACTTCTACAGGAATCTGCCAGCACTGGGTGTTTCCCTACTTACCTCAGGACAGATTCAACAAAAACCCTCAAGGCTTTCACATGGATCCAGGCTACAAATGCTTCGCTGAAGTTCACTTTCAGCCAGCGCAGCAATGGGCCCTATGAGAACAGAAACAACAGCGTTGTGATCCCCTTGCTCTGTGAATCAACTTCATACCTAATCCCGCTTCAGCCATCATGGGCTGCTGAGAATATTATCAGGCAGCTTGTTAGTGGTTTCCAGCTTATCAGAACCTTGGGTGACCTCAGGAAAAGCATGCTATCTGTCCTATGCCTCAGTCATATGGGCTAAATGGAGCTCCCAGGAGTCTGCTGGAACCATAAAGCCATTTCTGAGTGAGGTGCTTAGGCATGCCAGTAGCAAAGGATGTCATTACGTGGCCCACCAAGTTGATGTGCTACTTACATACTGTTGTTTCTTATCAGAAGCTAATTTCATCAGCTCTTCCTTTTCACATTTCAGTTCCTTCTCATCAAAATAAAATTCTCGAACCATGAACCTATAATCAAATGACATTCGCTCTCACAAGCCATAGCCCAAGCAATATGCACACTCACCTAGAGAAGCAAGTACAGGGTGTTTCAAAGTTGCTAGCCATTTAACCAGTTAAAATGTGTGGAGGGTAGGAGTTGAAGTCACTCCAAGAAAGCAAGCTTCCTGCTGTCTTAGCATGAGAGCAGGAAGGACAATTCCAGGATCTGTAGTTTGGTACTTAAAGAACAGGGTCAGTGATTCTGCTGCCACAGTTCCTTCCCACCCTGCCTTTGCAGCAGCTTTAGGGCCACAGCAGCCCAACCAGTAAAGAAGTCCCAAACCCAGCAGTGGATTTGGTAAACTGCACACAGAACAAGCTTCCCCTTACCCTTACCACCTGTCTGCTGCAGCATGCCCTGCCTAGCAATCAGTGCTTCTTACCTGTTTTCCCTGGCTTTGGCCTTGAAGTCATCCATCACTTTTCTAAATAGGGTCACTGTGAAGAGTCCTCCCTCTGCATCCTCAGCAATCATTCTGCAGGAGGGAAATCACTGTTGTGGTTTGACACTGCAAATCCCCCGCGCCTCTTTACCTTCCTATTTCACAGTTCTTTTCATTTATGCTGCTGAACACCACCCTGCTTTTCAAGAATTGCTCTGAACAAAATAGGAAACAAAAACTTCCTTAGCACTGGCCACGCCACCTCCAATGTAAAACTCCGAGTTAAGTTCGTGAACCCATCACAGAACACACACATTCTGCCTGACTGATTTTTCTGTGCTTCCTGGTAACATTCGTCACTTCCCATGTATTTGCGTTTCTGAGACAGGCAGTAACAAACACCTTTCTTCTTTCTCTGTGCTTTGAGCTTCTTCCATTTCAGATAACAGCACTGTCACCTCTTGTTCCCTGGATTGGACCTCATGGTCTGTGTGAGCTGAGCAGTGGAATATTTAATTCCTAGGAAGGATTTTTTACTCCAGGTGAAAGGATAAGTTTATGCAAATGACAGTACACTGAATTACCCTGTTCTACAGCAGGAAGCAATTAAAGATGCAAAGATAGTGTTTGATCTTCATAAAAAGTACTTTCCATAAGGTTGTATGTGATTGCATGTGTCTGAATTATGCCTGGATTACTGTAACAAACTGTTTGGCAATTCTACACAAAAAGAAAAGGCCCTGGTTGAAAGTAGGAAGAACAAGATAACGGGAAAAGGGAACAATAAGCTAATTGTAAACAAAACATGGATGATTTTTTTTTCTTTCATCTGCACTTCACTTCAACAGAGTAATTTCTGATTCCAATTGAGAATGAGATTGGGTAAATCTCTGTGTTCAAATGGAGCCCATGCATTAGACAAATGATTCTTTCCAGGATCCAGCAATGTGAGGGGCTGAAATATGGCAGAGATTTCTGAAACCAACAGGGACTGTTACTTGGAATTTCACTTACTTGGTGGAGCGAGGTACTACCATATCAGAGAGGGATTCATACGTCTTCTGCCACTGTACATAGCTTGACCTTTGAGCAACACAAAACGAAGCACAGAAAACACCATATTATGGGAAGCAAAGGTATTGATAAATATAGTTAATCAAGCTAATGTCTTAGGATAGAAATGTTGGAGCTCTTCATGCTGGGTTATGTGATTAAGATACATTAAGCCTCTCCTGTCCTTTCCTCTCCTAGTCATGAACTAGAGAGATATTTCCTTCTGCGCTGCACCCCCATTGTCGCTTTGGCTCTTGCCATGAGGAAGAGCCCAAAGCAGGAAGCTGATGGTGGGAAGAATGTAGCTTTTGGCACATACCTCCAGGCTGCCACACAATGTCCTTTGCTCCAGGACCCCTGTACAAGCCTCATACCAGGAGACTGTTTGGGAACCCACTGTGTAACCATTAAAAACCTACATCCCGATTCTGTCCTGCTATGAGTTTGGAGACATCTTTGCCTCTTTCTTTTGTGCCACCACTACCCTTGGCAGAAACCATTATTTCCCCTTTGCTAACAGCTCTACCTATGCCCCAGCCAGAGTGCTGATGACCTGCCTCAACCTGATCCAGTATCACCTGGATCCGGTGCTTTGGCCTGAAACTCAACGCCACATTGAGCACATGTGAGTGCATTATTGCCTTACTTTGGTACCACAACGAGCAGCGTGATAAGATACTCGGAGTTCAGAACAAAGTCTTCTTTATGCACAATGTCTGCTAGGGTCCGAGTCAGCAGATTTCCCCTATGGTGAAGAAGACAAATAAAAAATAACACTAGCAGGAGCCCAGCAGCAGCATAGTGGAGGCACTGAGCTGTGGGTGTAGCTGCTAATAGCATATACCAGGGTTGTTGCAATAGTAATCCTGCTCAGTACGAGAGGAACCGCAGGTTCAGACCCCTGGTGCATGTGCTTGGCTGAGGAGCCACTGGCACGAGGCTACCATCTGTGGGCTTATGACTGAACGCCTGTAAGACAGAATCCTGCCTAGACACTTGATGTTGTACTGTTGCGTCACTGGTCGCTCGAGATTGGCCCAGGAGATGACAGTCTTGTTCAGAATGTGTCTGTGTGTTAAAGCCTCGTTAGTGAAGACAGGCCTTCCTCATAGGAGAAGGAAAACTCCTATCTTCAAACCCAGGCAGATGGAGCTCGTTTAGCCTTGTAAGGTCTCCCATCAAAGAGAAGGACACTCTAACCAAACCTACGACCTGTGGACTTTGCTGTCACTGTCCTAGCTCGCTAGGCCATGGCAGTTAAACCTCAGGTGTAAAGGGTGGCACCAGTTCTGCACACACTGCCCTCACCTAAAAAATCCACTGTGCAGGCTGGAAGGGCTCGCTCTCACTTGTCTGTATGGACAGGCGAGGGTCAAAGCAGCAGGTGACCAGGTGCATGTGAATCTGCAGATCCAACCTTGCACACGAGCGGACCAGTGCATGGGTCCCTCGAGATTGCTCAGGAGATGACAGCCCTGGTTGGACACTTCCTGATTGCCTAAGCACCCTTTTTTCCAACCAGATTTGCATATCCCACATGCCCTTGGTCATCGTGTTTGTAGTAAGCGTGGGTAAGACCCTTCACTCGCGAAGCCAAGCCATTAATCAACCATATCAGGGTTGAAGAAGGCCAGGAAGAAAGTGGCTAAAGGACATGTCTACACTTCTAAAATAGCCATTTAGTTATTTTTACTGCAACTAAAAAGAATAAAAAGGCAACTAATACTAATTACAGAACATTGGTGACTAGCACTAAGCTAGTTTATGCCCTTTAGGCGAAATGACACCATTCTGATACTATTGATTCTACATTAAGGGTGCAGTTGCTTGGGAAGTGCACATCTGAAGTTACCAGTCCACACTGTCACTGCTGCATCTCATAGGAGCCACCTTCTTTCCCTGTGTGACTTCAGTCAGAGTAAGCAATGGACCTAAGCCATCAAACCCTGGGAAACCTGCATTGCTGTGGACAAGCATGCAGAGATACCTCCCTCCAGGTGAAGGACAGAGGGAGCAGCAGTCTCATGCAAAGTGGGACCTACAGGAGGGGGTCTCTTCAGAGTCTAAGCCCACCTGATCACATGAAGTCCTACCAGTGCTGCACACCTAGGATGTGTCGGTGGCTGGGGCTGGCCAGGCATGGCTGGCAGGCACTCCTCCCCAGTGCCAGGGAGGGCAGCCATAAGGAGTGAAGGAAGCACCAAACCCACTAGGTTTGGGTTTGAGGTTTGTTGTGCCAGTCTAAATATTAATTAATTAATTAATTATACCAAGCTGGAAGCACAGGCCAGTGGTGCGTGCTGGTGGTGGTGAGGCATGGACACAGGAACTCAGCAGAGAGAGGAGAAGATGCAACTATAATATGGCTCTGCTGACCCTCATGGGCACTGCAGTCCTGTGTTGAGCAGGTCTCCATGAAGGACAGCAGCTCCTGCAGTGCCAGGAAGGTGAGGATCTGTGTCCAAGGAGCCTGAGTAGAAAGCAGTGGCAGATATGAGCATGTGTTGGGTGAGGGCTTGCTCAGCATCATCTAAATTGCTTTAAATTTACTACTTCCTGGAATTTACTATTCTCCCTAGTGATACCCTGAAAAAATAAAATCCAGGTATCAGCACTGCCATAGGTAAAGACCATAAACATTTGAAGACAGGAGAAAGAGCATTTGGGAAGCCCTGATATGGCACTACCTGGACCGACAGAATGAAGCTAAAATGTAACTGTGTGTGATGCTGGTGAGGGATAGGAACAAGCAAGACAGAGAACGGCTCCCACCAGCGCACACATGGTCCATTGCACAGAAGTCGCTGTGATCATGCACTGCTCTCAGTTCAGACGTGCAGCGTTCCAGATGCAAACACCATGTGCTGTACTTACACAGTTTTTTTCTCCAGGCTCTGCAAGTTTCCTTTAATGTTGTTGTATGCGGCTGATCGGGTCTTTAGGTCTGCTTCTATCTGTGTCACTTGCTAAAACAAAGTAAAGAGAGTGAGTCAATTCAGTGCCCAAGGTATTGTCCTTCCCCTCTCCTGCTCCCCCTGCACTTTAACACAAGGACATGGCTGTCAGCCCCCCATAAACCCGCTTCATTGTGGCCAAGGGGGAGCTGGTGTCAGAGGTCCCCTGTGGCAAAGCCCTCTGCAGAAAGCAGGGTTCAGTTAGCTGTTGCCCTGTGTGCTACAGCTGTACGTAAGGAGCAAGTTCACGGTTTTGTTTCTTACCTATATTGAACAACACATCACTCCTTTGTGAGCGAACTGACAGTGTAAATCATTCAACCAGCCTGCAGCACGTCTGATTTAATGCCAGACCAACAACCTCACAAAAGAGCTCCAAAATGGAAAATAACATGGCAGTAGATAAAAACAATAAAATGTTATAATGGAGGGGATTAAAATGCAGAAAGTGTGTCAATGTACTCTAGTAAATCTGATAAAGTGCCATATGCTTACAGATCAGACAGGTGTAAATGTATGTACCATTATTATTACAGTATAAATTACAATAATATCACTGCTTCAGTGCAGGCTTCTGAGCCTGCTCCTGCACAAACCAAAGGCAAAGCTCTCACTGACTGCCCTGAGAGGAGGGACCAGAAACTGCCAAAAGACATGCATGCCCATGCTGGTATCTTCTTAAAAACTGGAGTACAATTTACCTTTGCTAATGCTTCAGATATATTCTTCAGCGGCTGCTTTATGGGGTATTTGGCCATGTCCCACTCAAACCGTGTCAGGTAGCTAATTAGGTCAACTGAAAATGCAAAGAGATGCATGAAAGCAGATCGCTTACCAGATGGCAGATCAAAGTTTGGGTAGCAGTCCCCAGCTATAGCCTAAGCACAGCTTTGATTAACATTAGAGATGGGAGTGAACCAGAAGCCCACCTCTGAGTCCTCATATAAATTTGATCCAGATCAAATCTGCACAGATCATTCATCAAACCTAATAATCTTACCAAACATCCCTGAACTTAGAAGTTGAACCAGAAACCTTTTCTGCATCACACCTAACAGTAGAGAACAAGTGTTACTGTAGAATTGGCTGTGTCAGCAGGACACAGCAATGTGCAGCCATTCTTCTTCACAGGAGAAACAGCTTTATGTAACCTATATCTAGATTATGGCAATATGCCTGAATTTAATCCTGGCAAGGGCTATTAGAAAAATACTTTGTGCTCAAGACCAGCAGTAATACTCCAGGATGGTGAGAGTTGGATCAAAGGTATTAAGAGCGTAGCTGCTGCCACTTCTCTGTGATTCAGTCAAGCACTCACTAGAAATCAAACTCCGGTGCGGTAAGAAATTCCTCGTTAGTTTTGCACACAGAGCTCACCATCTCACACAAAGCTGTACAGTATTTCTCTAAATGGATAAATCCAGTCACAACATCCAACAGAAACTCACAGCAAGGCCCTGTGCATGCAGTCCCCCCAAACAAGGCACCCTCAGACCCTGGGAGCCATGGCTTCTTCCCGGAACTGAGGGGAAATGACACATAGGACACCCAGCTCCCAGAAGAGGATCAAGGTGTTTAATTTTGAACACCAAGCTTCCTTAACGTGAGAAAATATTAAGGCTTGGTACATTATGGTACCAAATAAGGAGTTCTCCTCTAGCAGCTCATGAAATCAGAGAGCTCGCTACCTGAGTCCTGAGAGTCTTTGGGATGGCAAACACACCCCTATGTAGTGTTCTTGGTCTGCTTTATGGGATGGGATATAGCCACACATCCTGCCACAACAAGCAGAGGGGCAGGTTACAGAGTCCAGAGTAAGACAGTAGGCAAAGAGGTCAGAGGAAATGTCACCTGCAGGGTGGGCTTCCTTCCAGACCAGGAGGGCAAACATGGAGAATGCTCTGGGAAATGGGTAATACAAGCTTAAGGCACCAAGTAAAAGGAGGGGCATGCTGAGGCTCAGTGCTCTTTGCTACCTTGTCTGGAGTTTAGTCCCACATCAAGGTTTGAGCAATTTCTTGTGGGATGGATTTCGAGGGTGTGGGGAAAACTTTATGAACCAAGATGCATGAGGAGTGTGAAAAGTTGTGTAACTGCCATACTGAAAGGCTGAGGGTACTACCTTGTCTCATGTGATACTGAATACCTTTGGCAGGAGAGCACTATCCTTTCCATGGGCTTCTCTCACCCCACAACAGAGTCAGTTTACCCTATTAGATTTCCAAAGCATGGAAAGTCATGCTAGGAGGAAACAGGCTTCTTAGAAGGGGATAAACTGCCTGGGAGGCAGAGACTACTGGTGCAATAGTGCTCTCCCCCTCTTCCTAAAACTGTAAGTGTGTAAACCTCAGCCACATCAAGGGGTAGGAAGGTGACAGGAATCATAAGGCAAAGATCCAGCCCTTCCTGTTAATGAGTGATTGGGAATAGGCAATTTCTCCTGCACAGGGAGGGTGTGAGAAGGGGGCATGACTGCAGCAGGCAGGAAGAGCTATCACAAAGCTCCTGTGCATGTGGTTCTCTGGCAGGGCTTACTCATGGTCTCTGGGCAAAAGGGAGAGAGGTAAAAAAATACTTGAGCCACAAAGTTCACAGAACATTTCCAGCACAGGGTACGTGACAGAAGGATTTCAACATGCTGTCTCTCTTCCAGGCTTTCTTGCTTAGGCTTTGCTGAACTGGATAAGACTGAAAACTGCAAAGAGCATGGTATTACAGGGCTGAGTGGAGGAACAGTGTATTCACAGGCTCTTTAAAGACAGACACTGACCTATTTATAGCTGAGGAGATATGCAAGTTCCTTGAAGACCTACACATGCCCTTTCTATCCTTGCATTCCTTGAATCTCAGCAGAATTTAAATGTTAGGCAGTTAAGCATGAGTTCTCAGCCTGCTTTACAAGTTTACTCCTGAGCAGTGTGCTGGCTCTAGTGCAGTTCAGTTCAGCAGGCTCATCTTGGGGATGGCACAAACCTCTGTGAATACACTGGCAGAGCTGAGCTTAAAATGCCACACAGTCCAAGCACTCTGATTCTGATGCCCCTGGAATGACACCAGTCACATATGGAACCTGTCAAGTCACTCCTAGAAGACTTCACATAGTTACCCATACAGGGGAGATGCTTTTTACCTGCCCCAGTGCCTCCACAGCTTCCCAGGAACCCCACAGCATGAATCTCTGATAAGTCTAATTTACTCAGCCAGCTCTAAGAGGCAATGTTAAACACTTTCCCTTCGAAACAATTATTCAAAATTGTTATGCTTCCCATTTTGCTTTGTTTTGAGCTCATTGTAAAGAATGGAGTTATTTTACCACTTACCAAATCTTAAAAATCCTTTGGGTTTAACATTACTATAAATAGAATTTGATCCAAATCTTTGAAGAAAAGCTTTACCTACATTTCACAATTTTTATTGTCATGAGCAAGAAAGCATTTCCTGCTGTGGTGATATACTAAAATTCCCTTTATCACACAAACACACATAAGAGAGACATCTCCACACAGCTGCTTCTGACAGTTGCCCACTGGAAAGTAGGGGATGTGTTCACTCAAAGTGCTGTATTTTCTAGTACTTGGAAATTTTCTTCACACAAATCTAACGAAACAATTGTTAGACACACAGCCACCATCTTCACCAGTCCCTGGACCAAACTGCTGTCAGGATTACATACAACTGAGCTAAAATCAGAAAACTTGTATAGGGTGACTTAAACCAAAGTTTGAGTTGGTCTGAACCAGGACCATGCAGCATGAAGTCATGTCTTACAGTTCTGTTTCTGATTTCATGACCTTGAGGAAGTCTTCAACTTTAGGGTCTTTTTGCTGACCAGAAAGGGGAGGAGGAAGAATTTGTACAGCAAAGTTGCTGTTGTTTATAAAGAATGACACTGGAGTATTTTAGAGGAGTCCCAATATAATGAAGTTGACTAAATTTTTTAAGATAATAGTAATAATAAATAATCTTGGAAAAGTTAATGGCTCAGTTTAGTATGAATTGTTTGAATGACCAAATCCAGATAGAATACAGAAATTAGTACCACAAATAATTTTCACATCCTTCTATTACAACACATGCAGAGTTAATAGTGAAAGAAATTGGTGTAGAAAGAGAAAACAAAGGAAATAAGCGAAACCTGTTGTTTCTCAAGTCATAGGGATATCGTGATCAAGCTACGAGGTTGTTACTTGAGAAATCCATCGTAACCTGATCACTGTATCTCTACAACCAGACCAAGACTTTTCTCTAGCACTAGTACACACAGATGCATGCTTGTAACAACACAGCAACCATCAATCCTCAACATACTTTTGAGACATTTCATTTTATCCTTTAGTCCTGAAACACAGTAAGTGGGATTATCATATTTGGCAAAGAGTTGCACATCAAATGTCAGTCTTATGTCATAAAAGGAGGACATTTCTAACAGAACTTCCTCCCCATCTTTTACCCATACAGGTCTGAAGTACAACAAAGTACACCACTGCAGACAGTCAAAGGGAGATTGAGTGTGCATTCTTAGTTCATGTAAAAGCATCATTCTACAGGCCTGTTATTAGCATCTGTAACAAATCCAATTTTGTGCTTTTCCAGGAGAGCTGGGGAGGAATTTGCTCTGAAACATACTCATTGTCTAATTAAGTGTGGGGAGGTCTAGCAACTGTCAGTTTCTCAAGGTTGTCCATGACACAGGTTCCCTTTATGGCCTTGAGTACCATACTAGATAACAAGCAGGGAAAATTACTTCATGGAGGTTATAAAAACACTCCATTGACTACTTAAAGATGATGTAGGGGGGCATACTGGAAGGTAATAGGCTCCCACAGCCCTTTGGCGTGTCGGAAGTGCCCTTGCTGTCACTGCCTGCTCTTCTCTGCCATGCTATTACAGCCAGCAAGGGCAGGACTACACTGGAGGGCATTTCCTCCTAAGAGGAGTAGCACCTGTATGTCCTGCCAGCCCCTAGCACAACCTTGTGAGCACAGCCCCGGCTCCATCTTTTGGAGCTGTTGCCCCGCACCCAGCTGTGATGGCAGAAATCCACGGTTAACAACATGACCTACCCCAGCACTGTAGGAGGGAAGGCAAATCGCTGCCAGACCACTGACAGATGTCATGCAGCCATACAAAATGAGATTTAGCTGCCTGTAAGAGATCAAGCCCATACAGGGCACAGGAAGCTGCTAGGTCATTTTAGAAGTGCAGAAAGATGTCTCCTGCTTTCCTCTTCACTCCTCAGCTCTGGTGTTAGGAATCAGTTCAGTACCAGGTGCCGAACACTGCCCTGGAAGCAAAGCTGGTGCTGGATAGAGCTTCTGCTACCTTTGAGAAAAACAGGAGCCGGCGAGATGTGTTCTTTAAAAATGTTGCTGGTGGTTGTACTTTCTAATGTGTGCATGTTTCAATGCCACATGTTCATTTTCTGAAGCAAACAAAAAACCCGTATTCACAGAACCTACCTCCGTTGGCCAGAAGATTTTCCTGCACTTTATCTTTTGAGTCCTCCATAACTTCTCCTATGTACTGGGCTATTTTCTTTATTACGCTGACGTATAAAAAGAGAAGATTCATTAGTGAAGAAACTATTATAAGAAAGGTTGCCCCAATGATTTGATAAACATAGAGATGTCCAAACAAAACACTTCTAAAGCAAAGCAGGTTAATTTGAAATTCAAATTAAGATAAACCATCTACAGCATATTGCAGAACCAAATGCCTTATTTCTAAATACACTGATCTCTGCAAACAAATAGTATCATTTCCACCATGTTCTAAATTTCCAGAATATCAAAGTTGAGTCTTCTGTACACTCATGATACTCAGCAGAAACCAGAAAGGAAGAAAACCATGTTTAAAGTGCCAAAGGTGATGGAGGAACAAGAGGCAACATACAGGCAGCATATAGGCTGAATATGTGTTCTGTGGGATGCTAAATAAACCCCTTGGGCTTGCTGAGATAAGGTTCTTACAAAGTAGTGTGGAAAATTACAGACAAGACACTCCTTTAAGGTGTGGGAGAATTAGATTCAAAACCTCCTTCTGCCCGATTCAGGGCAGTGATTTGAACAGAGCCCCTCACTGTCAGCAGTCTGCAGGGACGGTGCAGGGTCCACACTGAGCTTCCCCATCAGCTGTGGTCTTGCCAAGCACTTCTGCAATATTCAGCTTGCAGACACAGATGGTTTTTGGCTCCTTCACAATGTTCAGGAAGCCAAAGGAACTTGGAACAAGAGAGGACTCCAGCCAAGTTGGTAAGACCGGTATAGCAGGAGGATAAAGACATTACAGAGAAAGTAGCCAAAAGGAAAGGGTACAACCCAGCAGCTTTTCCCAGGGAGCTGAACTGCTTTCATTACTGTGGAGTGCAGCTAGTGGCTAACCTGATAGCTGGGAGACAATTAGCTATGATCTCTCTCCACAGGTATAGATAGTGGGACAGGTATGTGCTCTTATGCACCTGACAGTCACAGCTGCCCAGGCTAGATCCCTGCAGCAGGGCACAGCCAGAATGTGTGTATACACTGGGGCAGAAAAACATTCTCCAGTCCTGGCTTAATTTCTGTGCCTTGCCTTGCATCCCGTGAAATGCAAGTGGGATTCACTCATCCAATACATTCCCCACACAAAGACAGAACACACACCCTGTGCACCACTGATGTCTGAGGCAAGTGAGAGGAATCAGACCTCTGTAGAAGCCCCATTGCCTCCTGTGACATCCACCAGCAAGCAGCTTTCGCATTCAACCCTTAAATCTCTGCCCTTAAATGAGACCTTGAGCAAATATCATCCTCAAATAATGCATTATAAAGGAAAAGGGTTTCAGCTAAACTGTCTTGAGAAGTAGTAACAAAAACCTGTAAAGAGAATAACTCCATTTAGCCTATTATTATGGCTTGGAAGACTTTCATAGTTTGCTTTTCAATTGCTGTAATGCCATTACTTTAAAAAATGAAAAATAAGGAAAAAAAATAGGTCTAACACTCTTTAAAGGTTAACTGTGGGTTAAAAGTTGCCACCAGCTAGGCCTTCAAAACACTGCAGGGAGCAGAAGCCCTGCAATCTGATGCTGCTGCAGAATGTTCCACCAACCAAGCACCCAGGAGAACCCCCGGGGTAAGGGTGACTGAGGGGACTGTCAGCTTCAGAGAGCTCCACATTGCCACAGGGTGACATGGAAAAACACTCTGCTTCCCTGCGTAAATAAATAATAAAAGTATGCGGAAACAATAGAACCTGCAAACTCCTGCCCCTTCTCTGCTGTCCTGGCAGGAGGCAGCGCTGACAGGTTTGCACTGCCTGGCTTTATGGGCAGCTGTGTTTATCCAGCAACAGTTTAGCAGGTAGCTCTTTCAGAGGAGCAGTAACATAAATGCTCCAGTCATTTGAATAGGCTTGTAGCCCTCTGGATGCCATCCGAGTAATTGGCATTTTAACCCCTGAATCACTGTTTAGGCTCATAGCCTTGGGCATTTATTTAACACAAAATGCTTTTTATGTCCTTGTGGGACATGGCATAGTGTGGGTTATTCTCTGTTATTACTCTAATGCATTTTTCTTATTTTTCCACATATTCTTCTTACTTTTAAAACCTTTTGATTCTTCTTGGTTACCCAGCTTAATAGGCAAACAAGAAAAATAGGAAAAGTCTTCAAATCAGCAGGTTAATTGCAGGGGCCTCACTGACCCCTTTGCATGTGGCTATAGTAGGAGTCGTTACTGGCATTAAAGGGACAACTTGTGGAGTAAAGTGGCATTGAGCTGTACCATGTTGTCAAGACAAGACATAGGTAACTAAAGGAGCCAGACAGCCTAGGGAGCTCATACTGACATTTCACTCAAAACTACCCCTTGTGATCTTACGCAGATCCTACAGTCAGCCTTTCAGAAGTCTTAATTCTTCAGAAAGCTGGGGATTAGTTAAGCCCTTCTGAAAATCAGTTCTGTGTGATTTTTGGCAGTCCTCAAACCCAGATCATACAGTTGCTTGCCCACCTGCTGCCCTGACTAGAGACATGTTCCATCAGAACAGATAGCAGGTACTGGCACTCTGGCACTGTCTCTCCCCAAATTTGCCCCCATTCTTGCTTCATGAAGAATATCTGCAGTATGAACCAGAGGCCTGAACATGCTTATAAAGAATTTGTGGCAGGTTTTTTGGCAGGATCACAATGGAAAAGGGGTTTGGGGTTGGTATTTTTGATGAATTAAATTGCTCTGTCCTGCTACAAATCCTGGAAAATGGTTTAGTTTTAGGTAGCCCTCTGAGGGGCTCCCGTGGTTTAAACCACGACAGAAGCATGGAGTTGAACTTGATGATCCTTATGAGTCCCTTCTAATTCAAGGTATCAGTCATATTCTTAAAACTTCAATGTTATATGCAACCCAGAAGGATCAAATGTGATCATCCTAATACAGCCCTGCTATAACACCAGTAAAGTAAAAAATCCTTTGGAGAAATGTATTCTAGCAGACTTACCCAAACTGCCTAGCACAGACGTAAGCGGTTTCTATCAGTATGTGTTTGCAACTGCCAGAGAAAATCTATGAAAGTATTGAGCATATATAGACAAGCAAATCCTTATATTTCATGTCTGTGGAAAAAGGCAAAAAGCCCCAGAACTAACATGCCTCTGTTATCAAGACCCAGAACCCCCAGCAGCTTATACTTCCATTGCCTCAGCAACAAAGTCTACTTTGTGCCATGAAGTATCTTACAAGCTGATGTTTTCTCATCTTGCTGTACTATTCTTTGAACACCCAAGTCAGTTTGGCCCAAAAGGCAAACTGGGCAATGAGCCACAATGAGATCACGTGAGTCTTTGCATAAATAAGTTTGACATAATGAGAGTCAACATTCTGGTTTTCAAGAAGTTTAACAACCTAAGAGGGAAGAGGTCCAGATTTCATTCAGAACAGCTTACTCTTTAGAACTCCTGTATTTGGTTGAAAAGGGCAGAAGGCTCAACAAAACTAGTCTTGGAAAATGAGATCAGGGAAGGCTTCATATTCTCTAAATGCTGTTTTATTAATTTAAGTTTATGGATGGGGTGTTCTTAAAAAAGAAATAAATAAAAGAACCCTTATAAGAAGTTTCCTTTTGAGAAACAGCTTTCCTCACACTGCCAATCAAACAGATTGCTCTGCAGACAAAACTATCACAGACTTAATTCAGCTACATTTTAAGGAATTATCATTCTTTCTGATGACTCCATGACAACCAACAAAAGGGTTAAACAAAGTCGATCCACTTTAGTCCAGTTGTAGTTCAGGTTGAACTGAGTCAGACTGAGGTGAACACAAGGACATACTGTCCCATAAAAACAATGTCTGTTTCTCATTTGTAGGTAGTAAATAAGATCTATTTTACCTTTCAGCAAAGCTATCAAGTTTTCCCAACTCATCTGACAGACCAACAAGCGCATCCAGTGTCCCCACCTGTGCAAAAGATAAGAAGTAGGTGAAAGATGCAGAAGTCTGCCTAAGGCTTCTGTTAGCAGTCTCAGGGACACTGACTTGTGCTTGTCCTTGTGAATCCAACAGTTGGGCAGAACCTTATTTACTTGGTCGAAAATAGTAGCAATTCCTTTACCGAGACCTAGGGTGTAAAAAACCTTTTCCAGTAAAGGAAAAAAAGTATGTGTAGTTTCTGGAGCATACATCAGTGTCTTCCTTCCTGTTTTCATTTCTGTATCATCGAATTGCATACTCTACTCCTCAACCTGATAAAACAGTGACTAGAAATGCACACCATATACATACAAACAAATCAGATGTACTAAGAGAAATGAGGAAAGGAGCACTTATTCAAAAGGGGGTCTCTGTCTGCATTCTTTGCTACTGCCAAATAGCAAGACTCCCATAAAACCTTTTCCTCCAATATCAACATCTGCTTTTTGTATGACTCTGTTACAGTCATAGTCCCATGCTTATGGTATTGCAGTATATTGCTAAACCTTTCTCTTGCAATGTTGCCAGCTCAACACCATGCAGGGTCAAGCTGAAGGAGAAGAGACAAATTTTACATAGAACAATTAGCAGAATATTATGGGCTTTAACATTAACAGACTCTCACCAATCTGGGTAAGGTGCATAGGTGGTAAAAATCATATTAACCTCAGGGGCACATGCAAAAAGCAACATTCCCAGACTGAAACATTCATGTAACAATTCAGTCAGTAATTACTTGAGCACAGGCTCCCCTTTTACTTGCATCCTTATGTAATTGGAATAGCTGAAGCTATAACTGTTAACTATCTTTTTGGATTAAAGCCAGATTTTGGATGCACTAAGTGTAGCTTTGCTAAGCGATTGGTGATGATAAATCCCCAAGGAACTAAGTTCCTGTGTAACTCCATTGACTTTAATGCAGTATATTTAGATTTTTCATAGCCAAAAGTGAAATAAAAATAAGGTTCAGATCTTATAAAATAGGATTAAATAATGCAAAGATATTAATAATGCATTAATACTCTTCCTATTTATATGCTGATATGAAGCTGGATAATGTAGCTGAACAAACACACACATCCATTTCCCAAGGAGTAATGTGCATGATAGCACTGTTTTCTGTCAGTAGTCTTACTGGCGTGGTTCTAGGTACTTGGCTACTCCCTTAGCAGTAGTGATCCAAGATGTACAATGCTGTATGACTTGCACAACCAGGGGCAAATGGCACCTTGAATACAAAAGATTACTTATTTGACTCATCTCACTTTCACTCCTCAGATGTATGTATATCTTTCCAACGTGAAGGTCACAATGACACTGACTTCTTTTCTTTCTGATCAATTTTCAGTTGACTAACTGCAACTCATTCCCCAAATACAATCTTCTTCTACTCTCTGCATATTACCCGAACTGATAAATCCCACATTTAATCCAAATTTATTTAGCCATGGTTAAAAATGCTGTATTGCCCATACACAAGCTGCTTCCCCATTTACCTTTAAGTCCGGAATATGGAATTTGCTGTTGCTGGACAGGTTGGATTTAGACGTCACCGTGTTCATCCTCTCCCATGCCTGCAGATTTGTTTTATCTCCCGGGGCAGAAATTAGCCAGAACTCCGACATGATCTAATATTTTCCCTTCACTCCTGGTTACTGTAAAAACACAAAACAGATAAGAGGTTAAAAAGAGCCCCCCACAAAACAGGCTCTTCCCTAAGAACAGAAAGGGTTAGGATGGATCTCTGATTATTTTTCCAGAAACAGCAGGAGAGTGAGTCAGTCCTGTGCCTCAGGCTGAGATGGAACATGACCTTCTCCAGAATGTCACGGAAAGAGTGCGGCTGTTCCTGCTTTCTCAGGGCTGTTACATCCAGTTTCTGAATGAAAAAACAAACTTTTCTCCTCCCCGTTTCCCTCCCAGCCTGTTCCGTTCGCCTCGCACTGTATGTCCAGTCCCCCCTGTGGAGTTTAGAGACTTCAGTCGACTAAACACCTCAAACATGATTGTTTCTGCTTGATAAATATTATCTCAAATTTTTGGACACTGGTACACAAAAGTGAAAGCAAGGTGTGCAAAGACCTCTGCCGAACACATAGGCTGCAAAAGATGCTGCTAGCAAGATGAAATACTGCTTTCCCATGTGTTTTAATTCCCAGGCTGGATAGGAAGGAGCGTCAGGAAGGCAGATCGCAGCGTACAGAGGCGGTAATCAGCACAAGGTAGGCAATACAGAGAATCCTCGGAGGACAACTACACCGGTGCTAACAGAGGAGATCAGGGCAGGACAGCGAGGCGCAGAGCCACACTGGAATCTCCCGCTGCTCTGGGACGCTCTCCCGCGACTTGGCACCCTCTGCTCTCAGGTGCGACGGACAGGAGCGAAGATGCGGCACCGGCCTCCCGCGCTCCCGGCTATGCGGAGCAGCGCCGAGGGGCGGGGGGAATGCTGCCGGGGGGTGCTCTGCCCGCCGCCTCACCTGCGCGCTGCCCGGCGCCGTCCCGCTGCTGCCAGCCCGGTGCCAGCGGCTCTCGGCGGGCCGGGGCGGGGCGGCATGGACATGCTCGGTGAGACGGGTTGGGGCGGGGCGGGGCGGAGAGTGAGGTGGGCAGCCGCTGGATCCCCGCTGAAGTGAGGTGAGGGGAGGGGGTGCAAGCTCCGTCTCAGCGCGGAGAGGGCAGAGGCACTGCGTGAGACCAGCCCCCAACAACCGGGAACGGCTCCGAACCCTGCTGCTTCTCATCTCTTGCAGCTTCCCACCTTTTTGCTGTCGTTTAAGCTCGCATAAAAACCCCCCAAAAGGCAGAGTCCATTGGTTTTATTAAACGCTGATCTCCTTTAGCAAGTCTGAAGGTTTTGGAGTAAAGAAACTTTTAGGAAACTCTCGTTTTGGGGACTTACCTGCTTTATTTAACACTCAAGCGGTGCAGGAATCTGTCTGCAAGGTAGTGATTCTTCCTCCCCCATGGATGCTTATTCCTTGGATAGAATATAGCTGTGGATTTTAGTCCTTACCAAGTCGTGAGTTTGCCTTCTGTTGCCTTTAAGCTTGGCTAAGATACTAGGAGTATTTCACAGGTCATGTGGAGTAAGTAATGTTCTCCAGAACGTGCAGGCAGTTCTCATTTTCCACCTGATTTAGCCACTATGCTGTCATACAGCAATACGGCAATCTCTTCACTACTGCTGTTTTATTTTTGTCCATGTTTCTGCATATCAAGCGGAAATGAAGCCCCACACGAAATTAAACAGAAGGATGCTCTTGCGTTTCCACAGGATCTGTCCTAAACTGAGAGAGTTTTGGAGTGCTGGTGCCAGGCACATCTGGTCATGCACCGAAGCAAAGCCCTTGACACTTCCAAGAACATTAAATGAATACCCCTAATGGGTTTAAACTTCTCCAGGACTAGAAAGAAGTAGCTGATGGAAGACATCCTGAATCATAGTCTTGGACTTGAACTGTTCCGTTTAAATCATGCTTTAGGTAGCTAATGTGCAGGTCACGGTCTTAGACTCTAAATTTATGGACTCTTTAGATTAGCCAAGGATTCATCATCCTTTGCTTTAACATTTTTAGTGAGATATAAAAAAGCAATACATGTGTGGAGGAGGAGAGTCTCTACTGAAAGCTCTCCAGAAAAAGATCTGTAGCTGAAATAACAATTCTATGGTGAGGTTTTTTTCCTGTCTTGTTTGTTTGTTTGTTCTTTTTCCTTTCTAGGCTAGCATTCAATGCTCATAACTGTGATTATTATAGTTCTTTTCAACCATAGTGTCCTCTAGGACACAAAAAAGGACTTTCCAGAAGTTATGCAAAATAACTAATATATAGATGTGTGACAGCATTCATATAAATAGCGATTATTGCCAAATCTTCCTTTTTTCTTGTTCCCTTAGACTGTCTGTTTTAATAATGAAAACAGAATTTACTGATATCTGGGTATGCACAAGATATATTTCTACCCACAGACTAGTGATCTGAGAGGTATAGTAAACCTCATCACCTAACAAGGTAGTTCTTTCCCATCTCAAGTGCTGTTCTCACTGGACAGCTGCAGTCTCAAGCCGCGGAAATGCATTGCATGATTAATTTTAGAAATCTTACATTGTCATAAGTATCATATGTAGAATTGTGTTAGCTGACACTATTGTTAACACATGAGAAATGTTACTTGCTGCAGTGGTGCTGGCTGTTGGAGATGCTCCTGTACACATGGATATTATAGTGAATAAGGTAAACTCCAAGCTGAAGAATTGTTGGATTTCTAGATTCTACAATATACACTATTTCCTTCCTAAACATTTATATTGCAGCAATGTCACTTTTCTTATTTTTTCATATGGACTCATTTGCTTTGATTACTCATATTAAAATGGAAAATATTATGCTACTTAATGTTTTAGTAGAAAATTATCAAGGAAGCATGATGTTAATGCTTGAACAATGCCTTATTGAATGTTTTCAATTATCACATTTTCTGGTTCTACTGTGACTTTTTAATCTTTCTTTCCCCCATGACACGTTTTTTTTTTTCAGGCTGGATGAATCAGCAGTGGAGGTTGAGGAGGGAAGCAGTATGCAGAACCACTTGCCGTGGGATATGGAGAGTGTGCTGCATGCTCTGGTGGTAACACAGATACAGCCGTTTGTGTATCCCCTGCCATTCCCCTTCCTGGTCCTGTGTGCAGTGCCATGTGATCTCAAAGTCGTCTAATTCCCTCGTGATCATCATGTGTTTTTCTGCCTCCTTTGATCTATCAAGGAAATGAACCTTAAGTGGCTTTGCCTCTCTCTTAGTGTGACATCTCTCAGATGCCACCCTAAGGAGCAAAACTCTGCCTCCAAACAGCCATTAAGAGTACTGAAATATCCTGCTTGAAGTTATCTCCCAAGGGAAATTTCTCAAACAGATAACCAAAATTAATTACCTAGAAAATTATGACATTGACACTAATGGGAAAGATTGTTTTAAGCTTGCAAAACAGCAACCACAGAGCTGTAGTTCTCTATAAAACAATTTATAAATCTATCACGTGCATTACCTGTTTAGTCTTCTAGGAACATGTGGGTTTTTGTTTTTTTTTTTCTTTCTGCTTACAATCTTTTAAGTCCTATTTCCCAGTCATGTGTTTTATTAACATTGTAGCAAGGTATTTAAAATTATAGTCTAAAATATTTTAATGAAGGAACTCTTAAATAACTTGATAATTGATAATATTATTTCAATGAAAACATTCTATGTAGTTTTAAGATTACTGAGCAAACTGCTTCTTTATCATAATTCCTTAGATGTGTATCTACTTCTTAGTTATGATGAAGAATATTGGAATATTGGTTCTTTGCTCTCTCTGTACTGTGAAGGGCAGCAGAGCCTTTCTGATGAATTGCTTTTATATACTGAATGTGAAATGCTGTTTCAATGTGAATGCACCTGACAACTAGTACTCATATGTATGTATGTACTGAAGGAGCACTGCCTAGCTGTCATTAAAATCCGTAAAGGCAACATTAATTTGCTTATCACCATGTTATTTCACAACATTGCACTACCACATCACCAGGTAATGCATACAGCAAATTCTGATACTAGAAAAAGAAATAAGCAAGCAAGATGATCTACTCTTGGCTGAAAAGGCCTTCTGTCATGCTTATTGCAGTCAGTATGCCTATCTGCTCCATGTATATTAATTTGAATGGAAAATCTAAATGTATATCGTTACTACATGCAACAAGGATTCATGGTCTGCTCCATGTATATTAATGTGAATGGAAAATCTAAATGTATATCGTTACTACATGCAACAAGGATTCATGGTTTAGCGTAACGTGTCCCTGCCCATGGCACAGGGGTTGGAACTTGATGATCTTAAGGTCCTTTCCATCCCTAACTATTCTATGATTCTACGATTACATACGAGAAGCAATATGCCTTTTCAAAGCTTCCCCTGCACAATTCGGGTCCCAGTGGTTGTCTAAGTAATGAGACAGTAGAACCCGCTAATCATCGATCTCCCCCCGAAGAAGACACCTAGTGGCTACCGCGCTACATTGCTCCTCAGAGTTCCTGCACTGCATTTACTAGGGATGAGATTGAGCTGCCTGAGCTTCTAGTGCCACTTGAGAGGTCCTTGCACACCTTGACTGGCCTTCAGTTCCTGCTGCAAAAGGGCACGGGTTGTCCATAGGCCTTGTGTCAGCCCCATCTAGGTGTCCTGATGCCTTATGGTATCTCAAATGCCACTAGACAATTTGCATTTAGGCAAGTGAAGCTTCAGCTCTGCACTGAGAGTTTAGACATACATCTACTATCCACACAGGCAACTATATTTAGGTGTGTTGATCTCTCATGAATCTCAGCTACAATGCCCTCTAATACAACCTAGAATAGTCTCCTTTCAATTTATGATACTGGCATCATCGTTGTTGCAATATATCATCCAGGGACTACTAAAGACCTACTTGAAACAGCTTCAGCTTGCATCTTGTACCACAGTTATCAAAGAATCACAGGATGGGTTGGGTTGGAAGATACCTTAAAGCTCATCCAGTTCCAAACCCCCTGCCATGGGCAGGGACACCTTCCACTAGACAAGGTTGTTCAAGGCCTGTTCAACCTGGGGGCAGCCACAGCTTCTCTGGGCAACCTGTTCCATAGTCTCACAGTGAAATTCATTTTCCTAATATATAACCTAAATCTACTTTCTTTCAGCATGAGACTTTAGCTGTGTTTTCATTGTTTCATGAGTTAATTTGATATATATTACTCCAATACTTGCTGTTGCTCTTTTAAGTTAGACTACGAACAGTCAGAATTTTGCATGCCTCTTCTTTAAACGGTGATGCTACAAAGCAATATAGAAGGGTCTTTTATTTTGCTGGCAAGGTTCAGATCAACCAAACCCTAGATTTATCACTTTCCTTAGGCAACGGGCATGGTTTGCTGTAGGGTGAGAAAATTAACCTTCTTCACCTCTTCCACCAACCCTGCAAAAGCAGCTTTTGCCTTGGTGATTTAACCACCCGGAGTGGCACCACAGCCTGCCTCACGGACAGACAGCGCTCTTCATCTTCAGGTGTTGCAGGATGGAGAACAAGGAGAGCCACAGGCACCTTTGGATCGCTAGAAATGAACGCTCGGGAAACTGGCGGCAGCTAAGTCCCCATGGATCCGTTTCCTTCCCTGCGAGAAGGATCAGCTTCAGTCCCGTGAGAAGGAGCCGGCCGAAACCCCATACTACCGCTGCCCTCCTCCCGGCGGAAGCAGCAGTGGGCCGGAAGCGAGCCGCCTTCCGCTTCCCCTCCGCCCCGGAAGAGGCGGGCAAAGCTGCGGCCATGCAGGTCTCCAGCCTGA